ATCGCTAACATTACGCTATAAACACACCATTACTAAACTACCTCTTTTAATCATTCATCAAATAACAGTAGATATTTGCTTTGTTTTTAGTAACACAAGGAAAAGGTAAATAATGAGTCTACATCAATGATCTCCTTTTTACAGCTCTCTACTACCGGGATTGTGTGTTAGTGTCTAAGACTGAAGTGAACCATAACACCTACGTGTTCAGATTACAATTTCCACGTGGGACTGTAAGGCATGTACCTGTTGGAAAACATGTCTACCTCAAGACCCTCATTCAAGGTAAGCAAGAATACAGTGAATGTATGCTCAAGCAAAAATAGGCGTTTTTCAAACATTGTTCACTTCACCCATTGAAATAAAGTTGTACATGTAAATGAGTAAGGAAAACACTGATGCTGCTGCTACCCTCACTGATTGACACATGATTCCAGCGTGCCCTGTCAGAGCTTCAGTATGGTATACTGGGTCAGTAGAAAAAGGGTGTAGGAGTGGTCAGTAAATCAACACGCATTCTTTCGTAGTGTCACAATAATTCGTCCTTTTATTGCATCGCAGCAACATCACAATAAACAAAACTCATCCTAAACAGAAAACTCGCTTTTGTCTCTCAAATGCGGTTGAAAAATAGTTTGCCCTTCCGCTATCTAGCCAAACACCTGTTCACCTGTGCTCAGGTGACGTCTATATCTAGAGTTAACACGTCATCATTGCATCATCATCATCATCATCATCATTTCAGCAATATCACTTCAACATGATCAACAATATTTCATTATGATCAGCATAATTTGATATGTAGATGGCAGCATGATATAAGTAACTCACATGAGTATAGTTGAGTTATACTTGAATTATTGTCCAGCTGTCAACATGGTATGGAATGAGAGGGGTTAGCTAGTTGTGTCAGATCACATTTGACTTGATAAATGTATTTATACACTGCTGAGTTCAGGATGAGACCTCAAATATGTTTAACAAAAGGCAACAGATTTTCACATTCATATATTCAACATATTTTGGACATATATTTGACTGATAGCGAGAGACAGCAGAGCAGTTATGAAGAAATAGAAATTAACAACAGAAAAAAATATAATTTAACACAGTCAGAATATACATAAATATTAAGCACACCCCCACTATTAGTAAATATAATATAAAAATGGTAGCATACTACAATGTGCTTTATATTTTGATCTAATAAGTTGATATAAATTAGTGCAAGTTAATGTAAAAAAAAAAAAACATGTATTTTTTATGTAATGATAAACATGATGCTTTAACACTAACCATGTTTATCATCTGATATGTGTTATATTATGATGTCCATTAGGTGGCACTGAATGGTTGAGAGTAGTCTTTATTGTCATGAAGAGAGAGTAGTGTAAATAGAGGAATATAACTGTTTAGACATTATACGCAGTGCAGATGCAGGCAGGATCTCTTTACTCCTCATTAAGAGTTATTAATGCATTGATGGAGGAGGACTGAAGCTGTTCTCAAGGAACACAGTGGACTTGAGGTGCTTGATATAATTATAAGAAGTCTTATTTAACTATTATTTTTGTCCATATGCAGACACTGAGGTGGTGAGGCCTTACACTCCAGTAGATGAGAGCCTGGTAGCTGCCTCCCAACACTCCTCACAGGAATCAGATCTCTACCTCATGATCAAAGTTTACCCTGATGGGGTGTTCACCCCACATCTCAACAACCTGCGCATCGGTAAGTCCCTGCCAGCCTGTCCTGTGAGGAGAGAGGGGCTGAGGGTCAGATGTATGCACATGTCAGCACAAGTTAGCACTATGAGGGTCCCCACATGTCCTGGAAAACCTCAGGAAACCCTAACCCTTTCACCACTGGGAAAAATGGGTCAATACTAGACCTACCAGTAAATTCTATGACCATTTGTGAACAAGTGCTGTCCTGTATTGTCATGGTCCTGGAAAATGATTTGTTAAAAAGATTGGGAACTCTGAATATGCCTTCATGTCCCCTCTGCCTACACCTTTCCAAAGTCACATTAGCGCATCTAGTGATTGGGATGCTTTTGACAATCGATATCAAAACAAACAAAAACATTCTTAGCCCCTAGTGTTTATTGTTGCTCTGTTTTCCTTATAAGAGCCTTAGACATACACCCATCGATCGACCAGTGACCAGAAGAAAGGGGGGTTTTCAGCTTGATCTACCATGACGAGTTTCCGGCCGATGAGTGTCATATATAAATCCAATTCTGTGCCAGTCAAATTTACACACATACTGTGGTTCAGGTGCACAGTGGCACAGACAGTAAGCCATTATTTTAACACCTACACAGATGTTAAATCTGCGTGGAAGTTTTTTACTGTTTTTTGGGTGACTTTATAAAAGATACTGCTGACATGCTGAAAGTCAACAGAGCAGACACATGCTGGGAGAGAGAAACAAAACCAGGCAGTGTGTGTGCAGTAAGGGGGGTGGAGGCGTGTGTGTGGAAAAGAGAAAAGCAAGGTGAGCACATTAAAGTAGTTTGTAAGTAAACTCTAAAATAAGGGGGAAAATAAGTGGAATTAAAATGGTGAAATAAGATGAAGTACAATCATTTTCAGTTGGATTTTATTTGTACAAAAAGCTCTGTCCATTCTGTTCAATGCTTTATTATCAACATACAACGTTTGTATCTGCTGTCAAGTGTAGTTCTCAGAAAGAAAGAAAATTGGAATCTGCAAAATTGGTATCGGTAGGTCACGTCATTTTGAAAAATCTGAAATCAGAATTGGAAAAAAATAAAATAAAAAATCTTTTGTTTTCATATATTTATTTTAAGTTAATTAATTCAGTACAGCTTTCTACATATTGTTGTTGGGCCCTTAATGTTTTTCTGTCACTGAAATCTCTGTAGAATAAAGGTTAATTCAAGTTTCCTCCCCCACCAGAACCTTCCTTTTCAATACAGCCAAAAGTAAAATTGTGTCCTTATAACATCTTCTCATTTTATTTGGTTTGTCCTCCTCAAGTATAAAGGAGAGAGGCACTCTCTGCTGTGGACACACACAGTGCACCACAGATAACAGGCAAAATGTGTTGCCATGCTGCTGCTGTGCCTGTTTGGTAAATTAAAATCTTGAAGCTGAATGCAGAAAAAAGCACACACACAAAAGGCTGTAAATCTGGCAGTGAGAGAGAGATACTGTCTGGCTTGTTGTTTGTGAACTTGATTGAACTTGGTCCCATGATTTTTGATAGCAGAATGGCTTTCCACTTGATTTACAGGTGAATGTGTAGTGTGGATTAAATTGTGGAAATGGCAAAAGTAATAAAGGGAGCTTTAATTATTTGTCAAGTGAAAGTAAAAGGCAATGCTAAAGTCAGTTAGGATTTTGTGGGGTTTCTTTTATATTATCATATCTAGCTGTCGTACATTTTCGGCTGCACGTGGAAGGTCGGCACAAACCACCACAGACGTGAGGAGATGGCGAAATTTACATCATAACTCATGGTTGATAATACGTTTGGAAGTAAAGTTATTAAAAGTTGCATTGGATTGTTTCTGAGGATCAGATGGCTTCATCATGGGTTGGCATTCATTCTCCAGTATCCAAAGATGTCATCCATGTGTATAGTGGACAGAGCTTCCTGGTCTGTGAAGTGAAGCCAGTGTCTTAAACCTGCATTCTATGCAAAGGCCAGCAGGGGGAGCTCCACTGGCTGCAATAAAAAGCAACCATACAGTCTTATGGGGAAATGAGCTCACTGATATTATGATTAATTTGCTTGGTAAGTTTCAGTTACCTGATGAGTTTATGGTCTCAATCTCTAGTTTCAGTCTTCTTCCATACAGCAGGGTATGCTTTAGGGTGGGGCTACCTTGTGATTGACAGGTATCCTATCCTGCAGCCATAATATGAGATGTAATGACATTTATTTTCTATTACCGCTCTCCTGGAGATGTTAGCTAATACTTATCTCAAGCACTATTGTCTTTGCGGTTATGATTTGATTTTTAACTGCATGTACTGTAACTCACACATACAATTGTCCCTGTATAATGTATAATGTATAATGCATAGTGTATAATACTTTCAGTTAGAAAAGTAGAAACTGAATATTATCACAAGGTGTTCATCTCTGCATTTCCCCTCTTTTTGACCCTTGAGCTTTATTTGATGTTGCTCCAGTATTTTGTCACAATGTGATTCAATGTATTACTTGCACGTTTTTGTTCACTTATTTGTTTTTACTCTTTAGGTGACCAAATATCTGTTAGTGGTCCAGAGGGTACCTTCAGTCTCCGCCCCCTTCGTGAGATTGCATACCTCTACCTTTTAGCAGCAGGCACAGGGTTCACGCCCATGGCTCGCCTCATCCGACTGGCCGTACAGGACAGTGACACCATCAGGTGGGAACTAAGACTCAATCAGGAGGCAAAATATTTCATCCATATATTCTTATTGTGTCTTGATTATTTATATTTGTATTCATTGTGTTTTATTATGTTTCACTACAGTATGTTGCCTCTGTGCAATCTATCTATATGGAATAAAATTGTTAATTGTCAATACATTCAGTATTTGTGCACTGGCAGATATTATAAAATAGCCATATTTTATAATACAAAAATCTATCAGTGAATCAGCAAGAAGCAGGACATGTCCCTCCCACTCATGATGGCCATTTATTAAGGCTTTAACAGGCAAATACAGGACTGCCTCTTTTTTTGCAACTTCCTAAGGATAAATAATTTTAAAATGAATAATAATAATTCACATAGATGTTCACATACCAGTCTAATGCAGTGCAGCACTACCCAAAGACTTGTGAGAAGTTTTACCTTAATTAGAAATGTATTCCATCAGGATGAGACTTATTAAATCAATTTAGACACAAATACAAGGCTTTTTTTGTATTGTAACTTTTTTTTAAATAATTTTATGGATTAGGAGATCATTAATTTGCATTTCAGTAGAAACCATTTTTAGACCCAAGTTATGTCTGAATCTTTTGTCTTGCTGTATTGTGATCAATCACTATATATATCTAATATGTCTTTCCACATAAAATGCCTAAAAAGTATATAGCAAAAAAGCCTCTTACCATTAGTATTTCTTAAAGGAATCAAGTCACTGAGGTACCTCATTTCAAAACTGAATATTAAGGTATGTAAAATTTGGTACCTATTACGAATCCAGAGATTTTTGGTTTTGAGTGTAAGCACAATGTAATTTTGAGAAAATGGCATCCTTTATTTTTATCAGTAGTTGCTGCTATACAATAAATCGATATATTTGGATATTATATGTTTACTCAGAAGACTCTAACTTCATGGTTATGCCAAATATTGTCAAAATCTCAAGAAATCTATGTGAAGAATGATAGGAAAGCAGTGTATGAAGCTTGGCCCAGCACTCCAGATGTATGAATATAGTATAATAGGTGAATTTTGAGGTGACAGAGCTCAAACTAAGATTCTGGTAGGTAACTCCAAATACTTTTAAGGGCCTTTTTATTGTTCAGTAAATCCAAGTACTTATAAGGTCTTTTTCAATGCAAGCACTTTCAAGTAGCATTTTCTTTTTCTGTAAATATCCTGTAATGTCTGAATAAAGCTGTTATACACAACTGCCCAACTTTAAACCGCTACCTCTTATTAACTTACAAATTCAGTCTATTTTTATTTTCATTTCCTTCTTCTTTTCTATTCTTGACTTGTCTCAATACTTACCTCACAAGATAAACACAAGGTTTATCTTGTTTGTTACTTGTCTTCTCTGTATAATGTGTCAAAACAATGAGTTTAAAAATACTCTATATTAAAAGAGAGGCCAAACACTTCATTAGCTGCTTACTACATTATTGTTGTGAAATAGTGACATTTTAAGGTGTTAAATAACAGTTAATGACCTCAGTAACTACACTGTGGTCTTTCCTGTATTGAGAACTTCCTCTTTGTTTGGGAGAAATACTCCTGTTCTCATTGTCGTCATCAGCCTTTCACATTCACAGTACAGTTTCTAGTAAACATTTATAATGTGTTCCATTTTACTGTTGGTACTACCCATTATAAATCCAAGGCTTTGCCTGATAATCCACAACATGTTTGTGTGTCTTCAGAAAAACCAAGCTGCTCTTTTTTAACCGGCGAGAAGAGGACATTGTGTGGCGCTGTCAGCTGGATGAGCTGGCTGCTAATAATGAGAGGTACTGAAGCTGTGTGTTTGTGTTTAAAGCCTTTGTTGCCCTGTTTGTCCCTGTCACAGCCCGGCCTTCAAATGGGAGTTATTATAAATTAAATCAACTAGGTTGTCAGTCAACCTAGTTGAAATTGGAGGTTATCGTCTTCAGTAAGCATAGGGCCCATATGGTGATAGGACATAGGACAGGACACAGGACATAGGACTCTAGATGCTGCTGGTAGAGGCTTTATGTAGGATTACTCTGGGTGTTAGCTGAGGCTCAACTGGGCATTCATCAACCCAAATGGGCCCATTTGTATTGCAGTCTCTGAGCCCATGCTCTTGTTTCCCATTAGTGACCCAACTAGGACCCACATAGGGAGCCCACATGGGTTCACCGATGTGGGACTACTTACTACTTAGACTAATTGTTTAAGTGGGCCCCAAATAAGATGCACATTTTGAATCCTTACCCACTTGGTGCCCATGTAGCCCAGCATAACCCATGTGGGGCACACATAAACATGTTGACTGGGATGGGGAGGAGGTGGGTTGCACAACTATAAGTCTGAAAGACAGAATGGTATTTAAAGAACAGCATCCAGGCACGATGAGCCAGAGGAGCGCGTCAGTAGGATCATTGGTAACATATGGTGGAGACAGTGTGGAAAAGCAAAAGTGACATACATGATTACACTACAAAGCTCCATTATACAATTTCTGTTCATTACAGACACCACTTCCTGTGTAACGGTACAATTTCCCACAAGTTGAGTGTGCAGAATAGGCAGTGTCTATTAAGGGACTGTAAGGTGCTATTAGTTTTTCCACAATCACTAAACTGTTGGATCCCGGCTTCTATTATAATTGGATGGAAAATCATTTTTAGCTCCAAGACGCCTCGAGAGCCTCCTTTGCAGGACTGGGTGACTGAATAAGGAACAGTGGCTGCATATCTAAGAATGTCATAGAACGCAAAACAGGACAGAAAAATACTGAATCTCCTCAAGTAGGGCATGTATATATTTTTCTATATGTGAGTCAAGGTAGACGTGTGTGTGTATATATATCCATATATCTATATCTATATATCTATCAGGTGACTTGGCAATATGTGCTACTTTATTTAGCCTTTTGCACATATTTCATAATCTTTCCTATTCAATTTGAAAAAGGGTAAAAGGGACACTTTAAGTTGCAGTGTGAATGTATACTGTGCTTTTAGGTCTGACAATACAATAATAAGGCAGTGAAGTGCAGCTGATATTCAGCTTTATAAACACTGTCTTTGTACATATTCAGAGTGTGTGTGTGTGTGTGTTGTGTGTCAGGTTTCAGGTGGAGCACGTCCTCTCTGAGCCCTGTGAAAGTTGGACTGGCAGGAAAGGTCGGGTGGATGAGTCTATGCTCAAGGATTTCCTCAACAGGCCAGATGGGTCTAAATGTTATATGTGTGTGTGCGGCCCCACTGCCTTTACAGAGCTAACAATAGGGTATGTATTATAACCTTTATTATATAACATTAACTTTCCTAGTGCTCTGAGAAAATATTGCCTCTTATTATTTGTAATTAATTCAGGTCTTATTTCATAGCTTTGGCAACATTTTCTATCGGTTTTGATAACATTGTACTCACTCAAGTAATAGTTGCTGATCTGGGAACACACTGACATCACTACAACAAAGTCAGACAAGGAGTTAGTATGAAAAATGTTAAGGTATGGTCAGTTAAACCAGGAAGGAAACTGCCTACTGCTTTCCAAGATGTTCCATCATATGAAAGCTGCTCACAAGGCACACACCACAGATGTATTATTAGAGCTGCATTCGGTACCACCAATTAGCTTTGCTGCCAGCTTGTTCCAGTGGTCACTCGTACCACTGGATACAATTATTTAATGACAAGGCACTTTTAGACTTTCCAAGTTTTATTGAACCGAATAATCAAATTCTGATTATACCACAAAAAAATATATAAATTTTACAGACATACCTTTTTATCATAATTGTGTTTGTTGTATGTATGTGTATTTTCCCAGATCTTAGCTTTTAGCTTAAATTGACCTTTTTAACATTTCGTGTACAATAAATAAATATTGTAATAAACCAGAATTATCAAAGGAAGACATGCCTACAACACACACAGGCTGTCCAACATAATAAATCATCAGGTAACTTAACTCAGAATAAAGAGGAAACTATTGGAAATAATAGGGAGAAAGCACAAAAAACTTCCTCACAATTAACATCATCAAATTTTACTGTACAAGGTGATCGCCCACTGGCAGATGCAGATGTAAAATAAATGTACACATTCACTTTCAAACTGTAAAATTCATCCAGGCTTGGATGATGTTCTCCCTGACAATCCTGACAACAACCAGGTAAATTTGTCCTAGACATCATCCTATTGGCTGGTCATATTGGAAGAAATTGCCAATGCCGATGTTTCATTTGAAAGCCTTTATTGGCTTATTGGTAAAGATGATGTGCGAAAATAACATTGTGCATCACTTGAAACCGCAACACTCAGCATAAGCAAAAATATAAGTAATAAAAATAGTATACAACATAGGGAGGAAAAAAATGCAAACAGCAACATTGCTTTCTGTTTCTGAAATATTAAGACCTTCACACCATTTTTTATGGTCACTGATGTGGTGGAGTCATCTGGCGTCTGTGGCTCAGAGGTAGAGCAGGTCTCGGAAGGAAGGTTGGCGGTTCGATCCCCGGCTCCTCTCGCTGCATGTCGAAGTGTCCTTGAGCAAGACACTGAACCCCAAATTGCTCCTGATGTTGTGCATCGGTGTGTGACTGTGTATTAATAAATAGTTTTTGTTCTGGTGAGCAGTGTATGAATGTGTGTGAATGGGGTGAGTGTGGCATGTAGTGTACAGTGCATTGAGTGGTTGAAAGA